ACAGAGAGAGACCTCTTCCAGTCAAATGTGCCACTATCATCAGGCCCCCCATCACTGATGACTCAGGAGGGTTCTTCCTGTGAGGACAATGCTGCTGCAAGGAAAGGAGTATCCACTATATATTTAAAGAGAAAAAAATTCCTCAATCTCTTCCAGAAGATGTCATGTCACAGAAAATGGAACATCAGAGACAGCTCATTCCTTTTGAAACTCTGTGCCAGGTGTGCCCAGACTACCCTAAACTTGACGAGGCTGTTCTAATTACTAATAAAGCAAGGATTGTCAGCATGATGGGAATGATTGAGAGTAAGTTGTAATGAATCAGATTAAATCTCAGTGTGTAATTATGACTTATAATTGCTTCTATACTAATGTTTTGAAATTAATGTGGTTTGTCTTTAACAGATGTTTCAACATACCACAGATTGTGTCCTCAGTGCCACATGGTGTACAGATCAACGATGCTGTCTTTAGATGAGAGTTTCACACATTAATAGGGTTTTCAAAATCTAGTGTTTAACATAAAGCACCATTAAAAATCAGTTTATAAATTATGCCAACCTGAAAATAAAACTGAAATTGCTATGTATGACACACTTTAACCAACTGGGAGCATGTGACTGTACTTTTACATTTTGTTGTGTCCAGGCCGTGTTCCTAAGGCCGTGTTCCTAAGGCTTGTGTACTTAAAGTTGGTGCTATTAGCAAATAGCATTTCACACCCATCATGATGATGTCTGTTAACTTGTGAATGTAATTGTCTTGGAAAAAGGAATCTTGCAGTGAAGATCATTCCAGGGCAGTGGTCAGAAAAAAATAGGTTTGACTTGAAGGTATGTAATGGTGTGAGTGTATGGTGAATTACATGAATTACGCTAGTCGTCTTTTAAGGGATTTTATTAATGAACCTTTATTTTCTCTGTAATAAAGGGTTTTCCGAGCCAAGACTTTGGAATTGACTGTGGGATCTTCATGCTAATGGTTATTTTTCTGTTATTCAGTTTTCCTTGAGATTTATACAAAAGTTAAATTAAGCTCCAAAACAATTTAATTTTTATTTTTTGTCCCAAACAGTCTGCTCTCTACGTGGAACTGGATGCACCATTTGATTATACTAGAGTAAGTATCCTATTTCATTTGAGAGCAATGGAGTCTTGAATCTTTTGAAAGTTGTTAAACAAGTTTCATATTGATATTTTACAATCAGACATGCCCTACTTGCGGAAATGGTGGTGCTTGCTGTTGATGGAGAACTTTGATCTCAGGAGGTATTTATATTTTGGCTTCTGTGCTATATTGTCTCAAGGTTTAGACACATTAACAATATCAAAATTTTCTGTTAAGCTATGGCAAGCTTTTTGCACACTGGAGAGAGGACACCAAAGTTGTGCTTCAAGGACAACATGTGCCCATTTTCAG